AGATGACAGCTTTGGAGGCTGAGCCCTGTAGAGACAGTGCTTCTTTCTCTGAAGAAGAAAAGTTCCATAGATCCACAGGCAAACCATAAGCTAAAGGCCAAAGGTGTTTTAAAGGATGGTCACCTGTCTATGGAGACTTTGCTTCCGGGCCTCATACAGTCTATAACAATCCCACAGGGACACATCAATAGCATGCACCCGCTAAAATGAAGCACTGGAGGAATAGACAAGGGCAATTGATCACGATTCAGATCCTCACAGAAATCCCAACCCACAAAGACCTGTTCACTAGGAACAGAACAACATAGCGCTGTGCTACCAAGCCTGGAAGGATTTCTAAAAATCCAGATTATGAGACAAAAACCCTTGTTTCTAAAGGTCTAAAAATATTCCTAGTGCTTTCTCAACTAGAGACTGCCTCATTTCCTGCAAATTGTTTTTCTAATTCTGTACAAGAATATCAACTTCATTAATCCTCTAAAAACTTGATCCTGTGTGAGGGCTTGATGAGATCTCTGTGGGATGGGAAGAAATAAAGAGATCACAGCAACTACTGTTTTACAATGGCCTTACAGTGGGGCTATCAACTGCTAGTGAGAATGCCCTGCTGCAGAGAAATGGGATTTTCAAAACAGTAAATGTCACTTTAAACTGGAAGATGTTTGCTCGATAAAAACTTGGCTTACTGGGGTTAGTGGCTGGGTGGTGGCATGTTTTTAACAAACATAAAACCAAATATCATCTGATTAGACTGGTTTTGTACTTCAGACATAAATCATTTAAAAGAAAGAATGCAATAAAGGTATTTACTATCAATGTAGAATCTCACGTGTCAGGCTATGAGTACTTCATTTTGAAAAACAAACACAAACAAACAAATAAAAGACTACTTTCCATTCCATAGACCCCAGGAGTAAGCATTCTTTCGGCCTCTTGTGTACATACTCTTAAAGACTTTATTTTTTTTGTGTGAGGCTTTCTTCCTTCACATTAAAGGATATTTTTAGACCTTTTGGCAAGTTTGATAGTAACATGCTGAATGAGTATGCTGCTACATGCTATTTTAAACATCTGCCAAAGGAAGCTGGAAGAACACTGAAGTATTATAAACAACTATAGTTTTATGAGAGAAAGAAAGCCTCAGAAAAATAGGAAAGAAAATGTGGTAAAATTACAGTCACTTCTCTGATTTGGTTTATTATAGTTGTAATTACACCACAACATCTTTAAAAGGGAAACGGTATAGAGAGCAGAGAGTTTTAATTAGGAAAGTTTTTCATATGTTTTAGGTGACAGACTTTGCCTCATTGGTGATTTTAATAGCTTAAGAGAAGGGACTAAATTATACAGAGAAGGAATAATAAAAGCAAAATACACAAATGTGACTTAAGCCACACGGACTTTAGACTTATCTGGTTATGCCGTACTTTCCAGAGAGGATCTCATCTGCACAGTGAGAGGTGACCCTGGATAACTCCCAAGTGTCTCGTCTACTCTGACAGACAGTAACTCTGCCAGTAACTTCCTTGTCTTAATGGTTGAGTCACATGTGACATGTTTGAGACTGACTTGAAAATAAAACAAGTGTTGGACATAATAGCCCATGTATGTGGGTGGACTAAAAGCTGAAGTGCAGTAAATTAAGCAGTAGCCACTTTTAAGCAAGCATGGCTCATGCAGGTACTCCACACAAAAGGAATGTCTCAGATAGTGACCATCAGACCGCTCTATTAGAAAGTGAGAAAACAGAAATGTTCTAAAGGCTTTTTCATGGTTCAATAGCCCCAGACAGCAAGGCAGTTCAGGGTCTCCAACATTTCATTTTCAAAGAACTACAACCCACACAGTGACTAAGTTGTTAACAAGACCTGTGCTAGTTACTGGGTTTCACTGTAACTTCTATTTCAGTGATGCATGCTGGCCATAGGTGATGGTGGTTTTGGAACCGTAATTGACTTTGCTAGCTCTTACTAAGAGTGACCTCCTCTATGCTATGTATTCCAATTGCCAAATAATATGGATAATCCTACTGTTACTACCAATGTCTAACAGCTAAAAAATACAAAAGTATTTCTAGTAGTTGACAGAACACACCCATATCTCTTGCTACTTTTTTCTATTAGACTGCAAATAGAGAGAGAAAAAAATGGAGTAAATTTGCTTCTAATCCAAATTTTCCCATACTACCGTTGTTTGATATCACAGATTAAAAAATAAAAATGGATTTGGATTTGTCATTTCTCCAATCAGGATTTTGCTGCCCAATCCCAGAGTACAGCAGCACACTTTGTTCCAGAGAGGACTCACAAAACACAGAGGCATGCTAGGCCCCGTAATGCTCAACCTTACCAGGTCCCATGTCTTCATTTTGTGTTTCTGAGCTTTTAAAAACAGAGCCTTGTGTCATGATGCTTTCTATATGTTTGTGAGGCTTCAGCTCTTTTTCAGACTTGAACTTGGTGTGCTTAGAAAAGAGAATGAGAGGTGCTCACTCTGCCTGCCCTGCCATCACTATAGCCATGCCCTTTCCCATTAAATACCCAGTTTAGGCTCAGTGCCTCAGCTGAACTGGCCTAGAAAGTCTGCCCCCTGGAGTGTGAATCTACCTGGTGGAAATTCCTTACTAAGGCAGGTTTTTTCTCCCTTCACCACTTTCCCATTTATGACTCAGTTTGCAGTTCAGAAGGCTGTGCCTTGGAGCATGAGTGGTTTTGAAAAAGAGCTCAAATATTAGGTGACTGTGAGATCAAAGTACTTATAAAATGGAAAACAGATCCCCCTCCTTGGGTGTTGAGCAACTTCCCCCAGATCCATTAAAGAACCCTCTGTGGAATTGAAATGTGGAAGGTGCTACCTCTCTATAAATAGTCTCATCTCATGCTATGTGAATCATGGTTGCTGACATAAAATCAACGGAATAACTGTTTGGCTTTGTTAGTAACACTGATGGTACAACTATCATTTTCCCCAAAAGCTCTTACACACACACACACACACACACACACACACACACACACACACACACACATCTGTTCTTCAGAGCTCAGTAGGCTTTGCAACAATCTGAAGTCTTTGATGTACAAAGTCACTCCTGGTGTTCTTGTACTACGAATGCTTTATACTAGGGATCCCACCATCTTTCCTCTAGATTATCATGTGACATTTGAACTAAAGGAAGTCACCAGTCAGGTTCCTCGGGATGAGTACACAGTTTGTAAACAAGAGAAGCAGATTAAATAAGCACCAAGGGAAACAACAAGCCCAGAGAATCCCCTAATTTATAATACAACATTAAGGAAATGGCCTCAGGAAACAATACACAATCCTTCCTTCCCAAGACTGAAACCATGTAAACTACTGGTCATCTAGAAATCAACTTTCATAAAGATAAGTGAGTTTATCTCATCCATTCACAGTTATGACCAACTTATTACTTTTATTATCTTGTTAGCTGAGAAGGCTGTGTAAAATCGCCTCATAAATATCACATAAGTATCCCAACCACAGTGCAGCTCCCACTCCACAGACTGAGACTGTGAGTCACATTGGGTTCAGAGCCTTGAAGTCCTTCGCAGACCACATACGCCCCGAGAAAGGGAGATCCCCAAGGAACCCTGCACAACAAAAAAACGATTTATACTGTCCTTCTAAATGAAATATTCAATATGCAGAGATAATTCTGTTTTCCTCTTCAGTCTTCTCTCTACCAAACCTACAGGCCATATTAACTGCACGTAAGAAGGAAAGACTTGGGCAGCTGCTGAGATGGAACTGTCACCAATTTTGCTTACTCTTGAAATCTGCTGCTTTACTACAGCCATCAGAGAGTGTGAAAATGAGACACACATGGAGTGACGGATGTCATGACAAGTCGATGAGAAACAAAGTACCCACCCTCCCAAAGCTTACTCTCCAAGTCTTGACTTATTCTGAGCCCCACTTTGAATCTAACCTACACACTTCATTTGCAGAGCTCAAGAGAATGTGGAAGTCAGAGTTGCTAACAGGATAACGTAGTCACCTCATCACAGGGCAGGATCCCTGTTCAGCCCATCTATCCCTCCTTCAGTTATCAACACTGAGGGTGATGTAGATGGCAACTGATTCTGTGGCCACACCCAAAGCCTTGGGAAAGCACCCACTGTGGTACTTTCCTTTTGGTCTCCTAACACTGTCCTGGCTTAGGGTGGGACTGATCTCCTAAACACTTAAGGTATTCCGTTTTCCCCCTGTAAATAGAGGCATATGAGGAAACATTTGGACCCAAGGCTGTAGAAGCAGAGTAAGCTTCAGAAAGGTCGTGCCATAGAAATGTCTGAGAAGTCAACTTTTCTTTATGCTTCCTGAGACCAAACTGCAGATATCACGTTGCTGTCTTTATTTCTCAAAAATGTTAGTGTGCAGAGAAAGGTAACTGGACAGAAAGTTTGTAAGAAGAGTCCGTGGTTCACTATCAACTGGTTGGAAAGGGGCCCTAATTAGAAAGAACCATGTGAGCACACGTGAGAAAAGGCAAAATACCGTATGCTTGTTGAAGGCAGAGAAAATCAAAATAATGTTAAGTTCATCAGGTATCCATTATAATTCATAATTCTCTGCTGTGTGTAGTTGTGATAAATATAAAGAACTTTACTCATATTCGAGTTCACCATATGATTACTCTATAGGTAGATGGATGGATGGATAGAACAATAGGCGATAAATAAACAAATAAATGAATTAATGAACAAACCAGTCACTGCCCTCCAGGACACTACAAGATTTCGGAACCTAGGTGCATCTATACAAGTGGTCCTCGCACTAGTCAAACTGTGGACTGATGAAAGCAGAAAGTGTTTGCCGAATATGGGACAAACTAGCACAAGGTTGTTGAAAGAGGGTGGGCCAGCATGGAAGAAAGGAATTCTGGTTCCCTTCCATGAGCAATTCCCAGAAGCTTTTAAGAAACAGGATAGGGGGTGTCGACCTGTGGGGAGCCCACTGTTCCAGCCACTACTGACCTGGTCTCCGCCTCACCGGCCTCTTGCGGCCGCTGCAGAAGCGCACTTTGCTGAACACCCCGAGGACGTGCCTTTCGCACAGGGAGCGCCCGTCTTTGCTGGGGCTGGAGCGGCGTTTGGAGGCCGACACCCGGTCGCTGTTGGACTCCCTCGCCTGCCGCTTCTGCCGGATCAAGGAGCTGGCTATCGCCGCAGCCATAGCTGCTCAGCGCGGGCCCCAGGCCCCTGGCTCCACTGAGCCCTTGGTTTCCTGCTCAGCCGGGATGAGGGAAGGAGCTCTCGGGGGCCTGGAGGGAGAGTGCAGGCGCGGGGAGGCAGTGCTAATATTTGAGGAGGTTGCAGTATCGAAAACCTGGAGCCCACAAGGTTAGTCAGAGTCTGGGCAGTGGCAACAGAACGTGTGAAAATCCAGATGTAAACTTCCCCAACCACTGGCGGCGGGGGCGGGGCGGTCCCAGGCCTTCTCGCGAAGTAGACGTTTGTACCCCAAACTTGCACCCCCCCCCAAGGCGATCCACGTCCAAAGGGCAGTGAGGAGTTTGGTCACACTGCGTTCAGGGTACCAAGTGGAAAGGGGGAAAAGATGTCCAAAATAGCAATCCGTGCCCGGGTTGGAGAGGCGCAAGCGTTGTAAGGTGTCCAAAGTATGCCTACACATACATACATAGAAAACCCGTTTACAAGGCAGTCTGGACCGAGGCGAGAAGCGTGCCCCCGGCTTAAGAAAAAAAGAAAAGAAAAGAAAAAACTAAAAAGTGAATAAAACCTTCCTTTAGAAAACGAACCACCAACCGCGACAGAGAAGAGAAGAGAAGAAGGCAGCAATTCAACTCCCTGTGGCCCGCGGTTCTGGAGATTAGGAGGTTCGTCCCAGCTGGGTGAAGTCTATGGAATGCATCGCACCGGCTGCGGTTCTCCAGGGGACGGCCTCTCCACTTCTGGAATTCCAAGAGGCGAGAAGTGGGAGCGGTTAGCTAGACTCGGGTAGGGGCGCGGGGCGGGGGCAGCTGTTTCCAGCTGCAGCGAGTGCACCTCTCCTCCAGCAGCACTGCAAAGAAAGCGGGAGACGAGGGAGGGGGAGGACTAGCGGGAGGGAGGGAGATCCTCGAGGGCCAAGCACCCTGGGGATCCGCGGGGTCCCGAGAGCGGGAGCTCTCGCTCTCTCTGCCTGCGTTCCGGCACGAGACGGGCACAGTTGGTGATTATTTAGGGAATCCTAAATCTGGAATGACTCAGTAGTTTAGAGAAGCCCCTCCAAAGGCAGAGCTGCCGAAGGTGTCCTCCTAAGCTCGGCGCCCACACGCCTTGCACCGGAGCTCCCCGCCACCGTGCGCCCGGGCCGCCGCACCGAGCCGGTCTCTGCACAGGCTGCGAGCTAGCCGGGCAGCAAGGGACGGGCGCCCTGGCGGGCTCGGGATCAGGTCATCGCCGCGCTGCACAGACCCCAGGCTTGCACGCCCCAGCGGCAGCTCCTGGCCGCAGCTCAGTTAGATAGGGGTTACCCGGCCGACGCTGGGCCGCTTGCTCGGTCCCGCGCTGCCCATCCCGACCGTGGAAGGAAGTGACCGCGCGCTGCGAGCCCCCGCGTGTCCGCTCGGGTGGGGTGGGGGCTGGTTGAGGGCGACGTTGGCTCGCGGCGGCTGCGGCTCCGGGTCGCAGCTGCCCACCATGGTCTGGCGCCCCGGAGCAGGCAGAGTCCCTAGGCCTCCTTGGGCAGCGGCGGGAGGCGGCCGCGCGTGCCAACTGGGCTCCCCCGGCCGGGAGCGGACTCAAGGGCCGGGGACAGCAGGCAGGTGCAGGCGGCCACCAACTCGCCCAACTTGCTGCGCTGGTGGCGGCTGGGAGCCGCGGGATCGCGGAGCGCCCCCCGCCGCCTCCCCTGGACCGGGAGGGGGCGCTCAGGGCGGAGTCCCATTCATGAGCAGAGGCTCCTGGGCGCTGCCGCGGGCTATCTCCGCCCGAGTGCTAGCTCCGCAGGAAACTCCCGGTAGAGGCGACAGCCGCCGAGACTGCGAGTGGGACTAGGAGAACGAGTTGCTCCTGCTCTTGGAGACCAGGAAAACGTCCTGGTGGGACTGAGTTGGGGGCTGGGCTGGCGGAGCGCTGGAAAGCGCGGCGCTTGGGTCCTGCTCCCTTTTCTCGCGCCCTCTGCTCCCAGACTACCCCCCACACCCACAAAACACCCTTCTCCCCCTTTCTGTCTTCTGTCTCTCCCCTTTTCTCCTCTCTACGCAATCCTACGTGATTGAGGTTTGGATGAGAAATTCTCAGAGGCAGAGTGAGGGAACTGCAGCCTGGGTCTGCTGTGTCCTGTCTCTCCTCCAAGAGAAAAACACAAACACAGGCATCTATGGGCTTGTTGAAGAACCCTAGGTGACTAAAGAAGGGGATGGTGCAGAGAGTAGGGAGATGCAACCTGCCCTCTCTCTAGTGACCAGAAGCATGTAGCATGCTTCCTTCAAGAAGGAAGTAGACATTGGAGAAAATAGCAATGACCTCCTGGTCACCCATATTGCATGCCCCCTCTGCCCCTGCCACATTTTGGAACAGCAAACTGTGTTCCATCTCTTTGGAACCTAGATTTCTTGTTTCTGTCCGGAAAGCTACAAAGCAGATCCAATGCCTAGAAAGGTCTCAGTAGGCAACCTGCCTTGAGGGTGAACAGAAGTGGTATGATAGATTGATGTGAACTAGGACGGCCAACAACAGCACTGGTGTGCAATCTTGTCTCCAGAAATGCTCGCCCTGCTCCCGATAGACTGGAGTCATCCAAGGAAACACAGCATTAGAGATCCTGGAAACCTTTATTCAGCCTTGATTCAGGCTATGTTCTGTCTGGGAGCGCCCCTTAGTCGTGTTTGCATTGTCTCTCCAACTAGTCTTCAAATAGCACCACTCTCCAATGGGTGATTTGAAAGCGGAGACAGAAATTTTCTAAGAGGTTGGGAGAAGACATCAGCCCAGAACACTGCTGAAAATGGGCCCAGCCTTGGAGGGACCCAGGGATTGTCTAAATGTAAGTTCAAATCTGCTGGACTACCTCAGATTTACTTGGGCCATAAGAAGAACAAAGGTGTGTGTCTGCAATCCAACACTAGGCAGAGATCGTCCTGACTGCTGGCTGTGCAAAGCAAAGATGGGCAGATAGGGACTGATGTGGCAGACAGTTGAAAGGAGTATTCAGTAGGCAAGGTATAGGAGGAGGGGCTTCCAAGGGTTAATGGGGAGAGCACACAGTCCTGGCAGCAGCTCACTTTGGTTGAATGGGGATGATAGATTCATTCCTGGAATTTGAGCAGCACAGATCAAGACAGGTGAAAAGGATACCCACTCCAAAGTACATCTGACAAGACAGAAGGGATTGCTTGAAATCAATTGGCAACACAGTCAATTAGGGAAGTATTCAATTTCCACAAATAAAATCATTTTCTTTCCTTGGCTCCAGGAAGACTTGTTTCATTTTTCAGCAAGGCAGGCACAGATAGTACTGGCTGGCTCTGGGGAGGACCCTGTCTTTTGCAAATCAACACCCAAACAGTAAAAGGTCAGGTAAGGGAAATCTCAATCATGAACAAGAAGGCAGCTATGTATAATGAGGAACTAAGGAAATCAACTCAACTTGGTTCCTTTCGTCCTCACAATGAAGATAATTGCCCCCATCTACTTCATGGAACAGAATGTACATATGTAAGCATTTTGACAACAGAAAAACACCAAATGAATGACAGAGTTGATGGTGGTGTTTTGAAAGCCCCATAATTGTGATTCACCTGAGATGTTGGCTCTAAAGATGCAGATTCCTGAGGGGAGGCTCTGGGAATATGAAGTAGAAATCTCTATAATTGAAGCATATATATTGGAATTCTTAAAAGCTCCTCCGGATCTCAAAATGTAACTGTTTACTGTACACATGCAATACATGCAGATAATATTGGAAGAATACTGCAAGACTCTCAAAATCAGTTACATCCCTCCAAAACTGCAGCCCTCTGCCCCTTTATTTCATCAATGGCTAAAGAGAAATGTGTTCTCAAATCTTTACTTTTTTATAGGCAGTGGACAGTCCGGATGTTGGATAGAGAGGAAATTCACCTAGAAACAAAGGTGAACTGTGGAATAAGAAATGAAAAATCATCTCTTGCTATTTGAAGTCCTCCTGTCTTGAGGTGCCATCATCAGTTTTGGCATGTAAAGACTAAAAACCTTTTCAATCTCAGATCTCTGAGATACACACAAGTCCTGTCTTAGATCTCTATTAAAAGAATGGGATGTTTGGATTTTGATGAAATGACAAAGACTTGACATTCTCTCTTGCACTTCCCTGACTGTCCATGCATTGTTTTAACTATTTGGTCCTCATGTTTCCTTAACACTACCATCTGATTTGCTTCCCCAGGAGGAAAAAATAGATACAGTGAAATCTGAAAAACCTAGGTCCTGGGTTGATGGAGGTTGAATTCAGAAGAAATATGTATATTAGGCTTTTATGAATCAACTCAAAGCTTTCCTATCTGGTTCACTGAATTATTACCCCTCTCTAGTGCTTCCCAGGATATAGCCAATAACTCTGCATTTGTGGGCGGGAAGATAAACCAACCTGCTGATGGTTGTGATATCTCAGAGCTATACAAATCTCAATTTTTCTCCTATCTTTCTTAGGATTAATGAAGAATGTCAAGACATTACGAGTAGGAAAAGTTTTAGTTTGGAGAAAGTTGCCAAATACACATCAGAAGAATTCTTACATAGTTATATTTACATCTCTTACCTCCAGTCAAACAAAATATAGGCAGCATTAGTCATCTCCATATTTTAAAATAAAAAATATACAGAGATTTAATTGTCTTTGGCTTGCTCACAGGCCAAATCTTCCAGCTACCAAATCGAACTAGGATTACCTCACACATCCACTTTAAACACTGTATTGAGTGCACCTGGTATTTAGGATAGGCATCAGTAACTCAGGGGAATTCCATATACTTTTACAATTCCCTTGCTACCAACAAGCTTAAAGTCCATGCCACTATCTTCATTTTGGGTGCTTACTTTTTTTTCTGTTTTCTTTTCTTTTTTTTTTTTTTTTTGGTTTGGTTTTGCTTCTTCAAGTCACATTTCTCTTTGTAGCCATGACTGTCCTGGAAATCACTCTGTAGACCAGGCTGGCCTCGAATTCAAAGATATGCCTGCCTCTGCCTCCCAAGTGCTGGTATATCATCCATTTTAAGTAAGCTAGTGAATCATTTAGTCAACCTATCTGAACCACAGATGCAGCACAAGTAGATGAGATTGACACACACAAAATCAAACCAAGGTCACAGAATACCACAGGCTGTGACAGTGATGTCCAGAGTGAGAAAGAGAATGCCACCCTTTAGATACCAACCTAAATCAAGCCCCTGCTATTAAATGCAGACCTCTCAGAACAAGAAACTATACTGTGTGATTCACACACATCATCACTCATTCCTGTTCATAAGGTGTTTAATGGAGACTGGAAATCTGCATGGAGTGAGTGATTAACCTTGCAATGACAGACATAATGTTCATCAGGAAAACAGTGTCACTGTCCTTGTCTGTTGGAAACACAAGCAGACCCACCTCTGTACATCCACCACCCTTCTGGGAGATTAGGCCTTTGACTCAAAGTTGACAAATATAGGCAAGTTGGTCTTAACCACAGCAGGTTTACAGGGTGGGAGATCTTGTCTCCAACCATTTGCCCTGCACAGTCCCTGTACTAGAAGCTCCTTCACTCTGTCAGATGGTGAATTAAAGTAGGCTGGCAGAAGCAATGTAAACAAGCCATTTCTAATAACTTGTGAATTCCTTTCTGTAGCAAGTTCATTCTTGTTTTTTTTTTTTATTTGACAGTTCAACAACGGAATTACCCTTTGCATGCGCATGTCTCTCAAAACAGGAAAAGGATAGCTGTCATTTCTATTTATGACAAACAAAGTGTCTTTGTTGCTTAAAAGGAGAAAGGTTCTAGTTTTGAATCATGTCTGTTTTGATGAGAAATATTAGCATTACGTTTCTCAAGCACCTCTAAGTACATCACAATTACCGACATACCAAGTCCATATAGCATTCCTCCTAGGTGGCTTGTCACGATGAAGAAACTGGACACAGAAAGGTTAAGTTGCTTAACTTAGGACACACAGCTAAGAGTTTGAAGAGACTTACATTAATTATAAACTGTTTGGACAATGGCTCAAGCTTCTTATTGGCTAGCTCTTGTGTAATTATTATCCCGTTTCTATTAATCTGTGTATCTCAATGTGGTTTTGGCTTACCATAGAATGCACTAGCATTGTAATGCAATAAAAATAGAATGTCATTAACAAGTAAAGTCATGCAATGAATTTCACAATTAAGAATATAATTGCCACTTGTTACCCCCATAGTCCATCCATCTGCCTGTCCTCCCGTCTTTCTTTTCCTTCCTTCCTTTCTGCCTTCCTTCCTTCCTTCATTCCTTTCTTTCTTTCTTTTTTTTTCTTGAGACAGGGTTCCTCTGTATATCCCTGGTTGTCCCAGAATTTACTCTCTAGACAAGGCTGGCCTGGAACTCAGAGATCTGCCTGACTCTACCGCTCAAGTGCTGGAATTAAAGGTATGCACCACAACACCTGGCTACCATTGTTATTTACTGCTGAACACTGATCTTCCATGTATTTTCTCACTAAAAGAAACTTCTACCCAGCTACTCTTATTATTTACTGCTGAACACCGATCTTTCACGTGTTTTCTTACAATGACTC